TTGCTGATTAGCTCTAATTCGTATAGGTAATGGTATTAACAGTCATAGAAAATAGGCGTGTATACAACACAACATAACACAACGTCTTTTGTGCCCGAAGTGGTAGGCAGAGTTACACATTACGGCACTTAATTCCATTGTACAATGTAATACTCACTTTTCACTATTTATGTTCTCAGTCCCATGTAATAGGGGATGAGCCTATTGCCATATACATATTTTCAGACTCCGTGCTACTACTGAGATTTTTTTTAAAAACCCAGTAATACTTTGCCCAACCCGGGAATCGAACCCGAGACCCCTTGCCATATATATATACCATATATACTGGGCATGATTCCAGACTCCGTGTTACTACTGAGAATTTTTTAAAACCCCAGTAGTATTTTGGCCGACCCGATACCCTTTCAGTCACACTTGCGACCATTCGACCAACGAGGCAGGCGTGAACACAATCGTTTATCATTTGACACACTATTCAGAGGGATCACCCTAATTGCATGTAGAGTTAATAATCCAATTATATTCAGTGACATTTACCTAAACAACGCGAAAGGTGGGATAATCCAAGTAATTTAATTTAATTATTACATAGATGAATAGCGTCTGGACGTGTTAATAATAGTGTTAAGATTAAAATCTTAGTTTTAATTAAAATACAGCTTTGTGGTCGGATTAGATCTGTCAAATTTTCATCGTGTTGTTGATTTGAAAATTTAAAAGTAACGTAAATTTTTTTTTTACAAAATCTTAATAAAGTATTGCATCATGAAATTCATTTCGTTTTCATACCCCGTACTTCCAATGTATAAAGTAGAAACAAAAAAACATAGATGATATATTTTCTTTGAGTTTAAAAAAAATCATAGACATATTATGCACATGAAACATTAGATATTGATGCGGCAATCAAAGCTACGGGGCTAAGGGTAGGTATCAAATTTGGTTTAAAGGTCGAACATTTTGTTTAATAGGTTGGTTTGGTAGGAATCTTCTTCGAATGGCACAAGATTCAACATCGGTATCAGTGAAAAACCAAAACGTTAATCTTAGATTGCTTTGCATATGCACCTCTTCTTTAGCATTTAAGTGAATTGAGAGTTGCGTTGTCCTCAAAATATTTATTTGAAAGATTCCCAATCTATTTAGTAATTTGCCATTAACGACTGCCTCGTTGACCGAGTGGTCGCAAGTGCGACTGCCGGGCAAGGGGTCTCGGGTTCGATTCCCAGGTCGGGCAAAGTATTACTGGGTGATAAAAAAAACTCAGTAATAGCACGGAGTCTGGAATTGTGCCCAGTATATGGCAATAGGCTCACCCCCTATTACATGGAACTCATAATATAAATAGTGAAAAAAGAAAACATATAACTTGAATGTGTAAAGTGTAAATGTGCCATTGTAAAGTGGCATTAAGTGCCGTAGTGAGCACCTCTGCCAACCCCTTCGGGGATAAAAAGGCGTAATGTTAATGTTCCATAACGTGCCATTAACACCTGTTTAATAATGTACCTTTCTTAGTAAAATCTGTTAATTACTAAGATGAGATTAGATTAATCTTTTACTTTGGCTGCCTTAAGACAACGAACTTAAGTAATCCGACATGAACGAAAAAAAAAAATGTTCAAAGTATACATTATTTTTAACAAGTAGGTTTTTACGGCCATAGTACGTAAGTACTTGAGCTTAATCCATAATAATCCGTCTTCGAAGGTGACAGTTAAAAATGGTACCTAAGATGAGCCTAAGAAAATATCTAGAAACTTTTTGTTTATTGAGAAAATAATATTAACAGTGTTCAAATATTTTTCTTGATCATTTTATTTGCGGAGCTCGTATAGGTAAGCAGGTGGTGCTCGCAGCCATCTGTTTTTCTGAAACTATACGCCCAGACAGCTCAATAAGTACGATTAGATTAAGATTGAGTAAGATCTTTAATGACTGCCGCCACTTCATAATCCAACAGGATAGGCAAAAATTTACACATATAATTATTTAAAATCTGCCTTATTTATATTTTAATTCATTTTGGTATTCTTTTTAAAAGATAGTATGTACGAGTAGTTACAAAATAAATAAGTAGTAACATTCTACCCATGGCTATACCATAACGGGAATTCCTGTTCATTTTAACACATGTTAGTCATAAAATAATTATCTCTTTATTTTCGATTACATTCGTAAGTTGATGATGTAGATAAAAAAATAAACCAACTTGTATACTAGGCACTACTTCTAGACAACGTAAATTATTATACTGTAACAGCATTATGATACATTTGACGAAATGTGGGATTCTCTCTACTATAAGAGATATAGTAAACAAAATTGAACGAAATGGAATCAATCTACACAACACTAGACACTTGAAAGCTTTTATGAAAGCAAATACGAAATAGACGATATTTTCCTTAAAATAATATTTGATTTGATTCATAAAGTACGTACCGAATGTACTCGAGTGAGTACATTTGTATGTATTAACAGAATATGTTTTATTTTATTATTCATAATAAAAATAAGAACAATTCTTTTGGAAATGTTTTCCTGTGGCGAAGTTATCTATACATTTATTTATGTCAAATTCAGTTGAATTAGCTGGAAGGCATGTCAGATAATATTTGTTCGCATTTAATTAGAAATACCATTTTTACGAGTTTATTGTTAGAATATAATATAATACAAGAATAGAATGTAAAGAATAAAGTTTTTATATTGTAAAAAATTTCGATGGTAGAATTTTAAACTTGTATTCGTCAGTTTACGAATTATAAAGAAAATAGTTTTATTTAGCATTTTGATCATTTCTAATATTTGGTGTTTTACGTCATTAAAGTGACTAATTATTATGATTAAAAAAATCTGCCTTGTGCAGTTAATTTTATAAATCCCTAGAAATAAAAAGTAAGATTATTCTAAACCAAAATTTTAGACAGCAAAATGTAGACAAGTTAACATATAAAAGTTATCAAAGACAATAATTACAAAACTTTACCTTAAAAAAATGAAAAAAAAAACTCACCATCTGCGAAGTTTATTTTAGTTAAGCACTTTGAAAGTAATTAAACACAATTTGCTACAAAGGAGTAAATGCTAAAAATGGAATAAGCGACGCGTCCTGTCTACAGACTAGGGACGGTAACTTAATAATGACTGAGGAACGAAGAACCGTATTTCGCCTAGAATTCAGTTATGTGAGACACTTGGCCACAATTGTGCTGGAATTGAAGGGAAAACTCAAAGCAGTCAACGTTTATTTAGTATTTTTTAAAGAAAATGCTAGATTATAATGGAGAAGATAAAATTTCGCCTTTTATCCCCGAAGAGGTATGCAAAGGTGCACATTACGACACTTGATGCCACTGAACAATGTAACACCCACTTTTCACTATTATTCATACTTTTCACATTTATGTAATGAGTCCCATGTAATAGGGGGGTGAGCCTATTGCCATACATCAGGCACAATTCCAGACTCCGTGCGACTGCTGAGATTTTTTTTTAAACCCAGCTATACTTTGCCCTACCCAGAAATCAAACCTGAGACCCCTTGCCCAGCAGTCGCACTTGCAATCACTCGGCCAACGAGGCTGTCTCTTGGTCATCGAGGCATTCACTAGGATTATAATGGAGACAATTCAAAATAATATGCTTTAATTATAACAAATTATTACCTGCAATATTCATCTTATAAATTGAGATAAGATTCTGGCTTTATAAAAATAAAACACTTAAAAATGTCCTCCAACTTTAACTAATATCTCACTGTCTCAAACTGAAGTCAATATCATTAACTTACTGTACTATGACCAATTTCTTATAATGAATAAAGATTTATTATATTAAACTGTCAAACACCAAGCGGTGACCGGTGACCGCGACCTATTGTTCTTTAATTGTGTCTATAAAACCGGTACTCGACGAGTTAAGTATAATATTGCATGATAATCGATGCACATGAAAATCAACTATAAGCATTGAGGTACAAACATAATACTATTATGCACCTGAACAACCCATCTACTTTCCATCCATGAAATAACTCTTTCCAAAGTATAAAGAAAATATAGCCATTAAAACTAATACTTCCGCAAGTCTCGTAATATTTGCACTTAGGGAAGTAGGTACTAACCACTCAACTCAGGTGAGCTAACAACTTAGTTCCATAACCTTTAAACTTAATGTACCATGGCTTATGCAAAGTGGTACTTAGCAGCCATATTGAAAATATTGAAGCTATTATGTCCTTCGGTGTAATGTTAGTAAGTACCTACTTTATTAAAATTGGAAAGCAAGCAAATCAGGGTCAACCTCGAGTTGGAAAATGTGTCTTGGTTGCTCTTTTCTCCGTAGCATCTCTATGCCATATTTATGGCATGAACACAGTACAACTGTAAGTGTACCACTGTTGACAACCCCTTTTTAGAAATATATGAAGTAATTTACAACAAAATTACGAATTCAATTTACTTGAGGGCATCACGGATGTTTTTAGTACGTTAACAAAAGTATAGAGGGCATTATAATCGAATTTATTTTGTAGTTATAACGCCATCTATGAAACGTTACATATGGTACTCTTGACTCTATGGTACGGGAACTAGTACACATCTTCATCCCACATTTTCCCAGTAATTTTGAGTAGCTTCTCATAGATGTCGTTGCATTGCATTTGGTATTTGAAATGGATTGTTTTCTTACATTTTCCATGCTGTACTTTTTACTATGAAGTTCGTATAAGCTACTGTATCAAATAATAAATATAAGTAATTATTGCACTTTTTTAAGCGGGGAAATTCATCGCATGACTGCTCCCGCCTGGGTGAGGCGGGCTAAGATCTTTTAACTAGCCTAGACAATACGTTGTAGTAGGTCTCGAAAATATTTCAACTCAATTCTAAGGAGTTTACATTCAGCTATTCATAACTGGGTTCCATTCCTGTGAAAAGTTAAAAATAAAACAACACTTATTTATTTAGTAATAACTATTCATATATTTCAATAGGTATCTTTTATAATTATATCTATTTCCTCTAACGCTCCGCGCTCAATATTTGGTTTAAGTCTAAGTGAAGACGAATCAACAGTTGCTTTAAATCAACTTATTTATAATCAACAGTCGAACAAAAATCTAAATGAATACATTTAATAGAAAGGTTAAATGTAAACTTAGAATGAGTGTTAGCGTGTTCTGACAGTTGAAAACATTACAAATACTGGTTCACTTTAAGGTAATTATTATATAAAAAAAAACTCTAAACTATTTAGTGGGGAATGTTAACTTTGGTATAAAATATTAATCATAAACAACAAAACATTATTCAACCTCAATGCACTCGAGAAACGAAAACTTATAATCAAAGCATAAATTAAATGAAAAATACTGTTTAATCAAATAGCCTAAAACCAGTCTAGAATATATTTACAGTAACTGGTGTAAACTTAAATTTGTAAACTAAATGATACTATAGCCTTACAACGACGATTTTACAACAAGAAGTTACAAATATACGTTTGTCCTTTTCTAACGTTTAAAGATAGAGTGAACAAGATGATTTTGAAAATAGTTTTAGAGCAATCATCATAGTAAGGCTATGAAATGTTATGAAGCGAAACGGAAATAAAAAAATAGATAAATTGTTGTGCAGTATATAAACTACGTACAAAATCAAACTGTACTGGGATCTTCATACAAATTCAACGTATAAGATTATTTTTTTAGTTATATATTTTTCTCTAACGCACCATAATGTCTATAGGCTTTCTACTAGATAAATTCAAGGCTTATTTTAATAGGTACCGTTATTTTTGTCGTCTAAGTAATTCCTAATACGTAAAATTCCGTTTTCAATGTCACTATGAACATTTGAGAAAAAAATCAGTCTATGAATGCTCCTTAAATTAAATCAAAGTTATTTATATATTTATACAATAATCCCTTTGACTATGCATTCATTTATGAACGTGATGATTCAAATTTTTACTTAATGATTAAATTTATTTTTAAATGTAACTTTTTTTAATTAATCAAAGGGTGTTTTAAAATAAAAAGAAGCACTCTAGACTGTGATGAATGACGCTATGAGATATAAAACCTCTATACTTATTTACTAATGGAAAAAGTAAATGATTTTGCGCGAGAAACGCGAATTCGAAGAACACAAGTGGTATTGTCTACCCGAAATAAATACGTATGTGGGATACGATATATAAAATGATTTATAGTACGTGTATGTATCAAGTAAGCTAAGTTATCACAACAATTACAAAAAGCGAGTAGCCTAACATTAGACATAGGGTTGATTATCTTGTACACTAAACTTCGTTTCAACTATCTCTCTCACTTTTCTTTATATGAAGTTAGATAAAGACAGCAATAATGTTACAAACTGTCAAATCAGTTATCGTGTCCCCATTGGTTGTAACTTTAGTCACATTTTGTAGTCACGTCTTAAATTAATTTTTACTATTTTGACAGTATTAACATTATTTCAATCGAAATCTTTTGTTTATGTTCGAAAATGGTGGAGATCATTATATATATATAAGCTTAATGTACAAGAGAACCAACGTAATTAACAATTCAGTTTTGGTATAACAACATATAAAAAGATTCGAATCATATTCTCTCTAATTAACTATAGAATCGTTATAATTATGTCGAAGTTTTAGCATTTCTCATTAATAGTCAGTCAAGCCACGACCTAAGAAGTAATTTAGTATTACTAATATATGAAACTGGGACATCTATATAGGTAAATAAATATAAGGAATAGTTTTGCTACTTTATAATATAAACAACATCTGTATTGCAATAAACTGTTCAGCTTCAAAACTTTGTAAATAGCATTATTCAATACGAAGATATTTCTCAAAATAATAACAATTAAACAATGCAATTTACCTTGTTCGATTGCACAGTCGTATATATAAGAACACAATATTGCACATCAACGGTTCGCTACAAATTGTAAAGAGAGCAACGTACATATATATAATTATAACGTAGCGACATCAAGTAACTACTACTAAAACATTCGTTTAGCAAAACCTCCTAAATCCCAGATTACCTTACTTGGTCATTTCTAATCAGATCTCTTCCACAGTAGTCATCAAGAGACGTACCTTAATACGAAGGCATAAAGTTCAAGATACGTTAAGCGGTGGCGTCATGTAAATGTCGTACGTGTGTACTTTGAATAGGACCTTATTACATTAAGTTTAAGGTTTATATTTAAGCGGTGGAGTCGTGTGTTGAAGGGTTGGGTATGATGGTGCCTGTGACCTGTTGTTCCCGAAGTCTCCGCATTTCCCTCGACATGGAGTTCAGCTCCGCTTGTAGTGACAACTCTTTCTCGCGTAGACTTTTGATCTCGTTTTGCCATGTCTGTAAAAGTGAAATGTTACAATATATATAAAATGTTACCTTACAGCAATAAATAGCATAAATCCTATTACAGCGATTGAGGTGCTGTGAGCAGTAGGTAATAGGAACCAGTATTTTCAATGTTCATCATCGTCATCGTCATCATCATCAGTCTAAAGACTTTTACTGATGAACAAAAGCCTCCCCTTTTTAACAGAGGTCTCACTCTTTTGGAAGGCAAAGTCATGCTTGATGAAAGGAAATGACTCGTCTCCCCTTTGTGTGGCGATAGGAGGAGGTAGAGGGGGTGAGGTAACGATCCCTTCACGCCCCAGCCGTCGTCGCAGGAGACACTCCGGGCATCGAGGATCACACGATATCCACCGTAAGTGTTAGTCTGCGGACGGCGAACAAAGTCAATAGCTCGCCGCCCGACCCTGAACTAGACCCGGAGCGTACTAGAATCTAGTCTAGAGTCAGCAGAGCAAAACCGGAAAGGTAACTACCGTGACTTCAGCTCGAGGTAGGAGTTGAAATGGAATTGGTTTACTGGTATTAAGATGAGAAGAATGTCATACGCCACTCTCTCTCGCTTTACTTAGGGCTAGAACCAATTTGATGATTTTCCACCTCAAAAAAATAGGTAGCTGACTAACAGTTGCTACAAATATCTGTACTGGATAACTGCACGCGTATGTAGCTCTCATTCATTTCGATAAGACACAATAACTTGCTGTCTGAATTATATCATGTTTAAATTAGATTTACAATACAAATACCAATAAGATGTCCAATATAAATAAAGAAATACTCACGATATTTTGTTTGAGCAGGTCAAGTTTATCGTTCTTGAGGCGGCATACTTCTTGGCGTAACATCTCGGCGTCTCTCGGCGTCACTTCGCGACCAGTCCCCGCTGCACAACCACCGCACGCTGCCCCCGCCTCGGCCGAGGACATAGATTCGAGTCCCGTGTCACTATCAACGTACACTCCACCTGGACATACAAACGCTTTTGTTAGTATTGTACTACACTGCTCGTTATTAGACGTAATCGCACTGGTTATACTAGAAGTATAAATTTTACTGTGTTCAATACTGGAATTATTAGTCCGTATAAAACCACGTTATTTTAACATATTATTTTAGACTACACAGTTGAAATTAAATATATTTTTAAGATTATTGCAAATAATTTACTGTTGATCAACGAAAATAATAATTTTGTGCATAACAATTTAACAAAAGAAGCAGTGTTTTAAAACAGCTAATATAAAACAAGGACAGAACAGGACAAATTGAACTATAAGTACGTAACGAGAGAAAAGTGTCTAAACAACATCAATTTACTAGTAAAATCATAAAACAAATATACTGACGCATAATATTCGTGAACGAAAACCTATAGAAAAGAACATCATGCGTTTAAAGACGACAGGTGAACTAAAAACATGAACGTTCTAACTACAGGACTAACCTGTTGCACTTTTACCACAACTCAGCCAGTCCTTGTCGTCTATTTGGAAGAAATCACACTATTACTTCACCAAAACTATTCAGAACATGAGTTGGGTGTCACCAACATGCAACATTGACAATAGGGAACAATTGGTCATTTTGTAAGATGATTTCTAGGGTTTGTAAAATTTAATGCTATAAATAGCATTTCAAATTCGAACAAGTGTTGGAATCTACGAGATGGCTTTTAAATAGAACTGCATACCGTCATAGGGATTTTTTGTAATTAAATGCTACAGGTCATTCTCCAGACTTGATATCATGTAACAATGAATCTGCTGTATTGTATCAAAATGGGTATCCAAAAAAAACATTCCCAATCAAAGTCCCATAAAATCTCTATCGTATTGTAACTAAATCAACCTAAAAATGAACATGAAATGATAAAAGAAATACTAACCAAGCGGGTCTAAATCCACAGAGTTGAGACTGGAGTCGTCGCTATGGTCGGTGAGAGGGGGGCGCGGGGGCGCGGCGCGTGACGTCACGTCGGGGCTGGACTCGCCCGACGCATGCGACGCGCCCGACCCGCCAGCGGAACGAACTGACACGGCCGAAGCAGACGATGATGCTACTGATGATTTGGAGCGAGCGCTCTGAAATGTAAAGAAGGTATTTTAAAAACGTGTTAAATAGAATCATGAAGTTATTTCTATAGATCAATCTATACTAAAACTTTCTGAAATCTTTAAGACATTTTGTTGTCTAACGGTTGAAGTTAATAAGCCTAAAACTACAGACCGATCTAATTTTTTTAACAGAAACTCCATATAGAAGTAATGCCAAAAGTGGATCCTAATCCAAATTTTACATTCAGGTTAATTACGGTCGTTTCACCTTTTTATGTGCTAACGTATATTATGTTTCCAAAATTGATCAATAAATTGCAATTAGCATCTTTCATGTAACCTATTTAATATGAACTGGTAAATCATCTGTCTGATGAAAATGATATAACGTAGTGTTATTTTATCCACCCAAAGTTTATAGTTATAAACAGATTAACACTTCAGGAAGCTAATTTGTAGTCTATGCAAATATAACTGCAAGATGATCGAGAGCTATCGAGGCTATATGTTTCTCAGTTCCTTATAATAAAGTGTTAATATCAATATTTATTGTTGTACCTCCTAGTACAGACGCCATAAGAAGTGGACACAGGTGGAAGTCCATTTAAGAATAAGCACATTGAATGATGCATAGAATTTTAAGCAGTGTTCATGCAAATCACATTGTCTCGTTAGTTATAATAATAGCTAATGTTTTGATAGGACTGCCCACTTTCTTTGTGATGGAATTATGTAGAAGAATAGTACAATCATTAATCACGATAAAAATAAATAATAGTGAGTCAATACTTACATTAGGAGTATGTGTTTCATTCGGAACGAACTTATTCTTATTTAGAGCATTCTTGTTACTATCGCCTGAGAGATTCGTGTCTACACTAGGTGATCTGGAAATGTAAGAAAATAGGTCAGTATAAAAAGAAAAGGCAGAAAATGTTTTCAAAGAATGCGAGTATCAGCTGCATCTTGTTTGACTTGAATTTAAAAATCTATTTGCGTAGCTGTGTTTGCTCGAAGTAAATGTAAAAGAACGTTCAGTGATAAAGATTACGATATTTACCTGACTTTCGAAATTAAGGCCTTTTTTACTGTATCGATGAACCGCGATCCGGGACCATCTTGTTTTGGGGTACCATCGGGTTGTGGGGAGACTGCGCCTGGCTCCAATCTCACTCCAGCACCCAAAAACTCAGTCGTCTTCGTCTTCAGATCGTTCACCAAGTTCTGCAGTAATGATGCTCTGGTCCTTAACTCCAGTTGAGCAAACTTATCTGCTTTGTAGCACGCGTTTTCGGCATTAATTAGCTTCGTAAGGAGGAATTCTTTGAACTCGCGCCCCTTGCGGAATATCGACGGCTGCGGGAGAGTCGGTCCGAAGAATGGTACGTCAGTACGAGCGGTGACGGCCACTTTGTACCTGGAGTTAGATAAAATAATATTAGTAATTATAAACAGTAATACGCTAGAAATACCTAGTATAAAACTAAATTGAAATACCTTCACTGAAAATATTTAACTACAAAACGATTGGTACTTAGGTACTCAATTTACATGGTATTATATAAAGACTTGTATTCGATGACTTGATTAAGCCTGCACAATAGACTTCGCATGACCTTTATCAGTATCACTGACATCTGCCTCTGACAGCCCTTTACCTACGCACAAGGTTTTATGTGAACCTTAATGAAGCTATTTCCATTACAAGAATCTATTACAGCTGACCTTTAACAAATCAGAGAAATACATCAAGACATTTATTTATCTAATGTTTGTTCCCATAAAAAGCTCTCTAATTACCGAGTCCAGATTCGTTTGCATATAAATTACTGGGAAAATTTCCATTCTACTTTCCGAGCTATTTTCTCGACTTGCTATGCAAATAATGCCACTGTACGTTGTTGAGAAGCAACACAAACTTTATGTTAAACAACTCACTTGACAAGTTGAAAAAAAGTTACCAAACAGAAACTCAAGTTTGTGGGATTAAAATAGAAAGAATTCATTCGACGGCATGAATAAAAATAAACTTTTATAGACAGTGCGGTGAATTTATTTTAAAATATGTTCGAATTTTTTATCTCAAAGGAACTGGGCTCAGTAATGATACGGGAATAGATGCTTTGAGATTGATACACGATGTCTTCAATAAAAAGGATGGATGGTTTGAAAAAGTTAAAGTTACAGTCCCATTAATTGTTGGACATCGTCATAAACAAGCTAAAATGATGATATCCTAAGGATATAAAAATTCGTTTCATAACCAAAGATTAATGCTAGGAAATAATCATAAGTTGTGAATTTATTATTACCTGGTCTCCCCACCAGCAGATTCCAGCTGTGTGACCACGATGAACGCGTGGAGGAAGTGTGATGCTATCATGTCAGGTGTGAAAGGTGTTGCCTTCTCCTGAGAATGGAAACAATGGGAAATTAGTCTAAGTCACTGCAAAAGATGGTAATCAGTAGATAGACATCTAAGCTTAACTTAGGTTTGCTAGTCCTAAAGGTTTCCGTAAAGTTGGTGAACCAGTTCAAGACATTATTACAAGTAAACAAACAATGAGATAATATTTGCCCTCATTCATATAGATGATTGTAATGGTATAGATCTCATTACATTGTGCAATAAAAGATTTAACATCGACCGTCTGTTTAGTTGCCGAACTTACGCAAACTGTACAATAAACTCGTTAAATTATTGCAGTATTTCGTATAATACAGTCATAAACAATCTACAATGAAAAGCGTTTCGGCATTTCTGCTATGTGGTTGAGTCCTGACTTCACAATAGAACAACATAACATTACTTCAAGTCTACATTATGCTATTGTTCACTAAACATGCATTTTATTATGATCGTCAGTCGTTCTATTTCTGAAGTTAAGCTATTGTATCCAATTACATGTTTATTCAGAGATATGAATGCACCTTTCATTGCAAACAAAATTTTGATACGTATTGAGTTTTCGAATTCGATCTCCGAGACGTGATGATTATAGTTGGTGCATGTATTATTACAATAGTTGAGTACAATATTTTAAGCCTGTGATTTTAATCTGTGCTATCTACTAAATTGAATATCTCACCTGAAATACAATCGCGACGATGTCATTGCCGACATGCCTCTTCCTCTGCAGTTGCTGAGCATCGCCAGCGGTGTGTGGCAATAAGGGTGCCACGTGGAACATTATTTCGCGGTCGTTGTACGTCTCATAAACGGCTTCCGTGCCTGTGTGGCCGTTTATTATGTCCAGACCGCCCCGGTAGCCTGGTAAAGCAATGTTTGGTTAGGAAGTTATATTACTTAAATAGTAAGGAACATGCAATGCCTAAAGTATATTAAACTGTGTACATTTTAATGAAGAACGTTTACTACAGCAGTTTTGTTAAAATTATTAATGTATCCTAGAAATTTATAAAGTTTCGATCCAACCGCTGCGGTAGAGTTCTTGGCCTGGAATTGAGCACTAAGCGTTTTGAACGCCAAAATTGTCGAGATAGGCTGCAGGCATGCTGCCAGTGGATTAAGGTTCTCATTGCTAAGGGAAACTAACCTTTATGGTCTTTCAATTTGATCCGCTGTCCCAGCATGTCTAAGAACTCCTCGAACGCTGGTGATATTTCGTTGTTGCCGAACAGTTGTTCTTCTGTCGTCTGCCCGTAAGTCTGGTATAGAACTCCAAACTTGAAGCAGTTTACTAAAACATGTTCGTCGTACTGCGCTATCAGGGATGACGCGTTGAGACACATGACGGCCGTGAAGTTGTCAATGTTCACTTGGTCGTTTAACATTTTTGCCATTTCAAGGGGCGATTGCACTACTCCTGATCCTGAAAATAAAAGGGATTTTTTAATCAACTGTTTATTAAATAATCGTAACTGGATTGCTAAGTGAAAGGTATAGTTTTCTTTAACCGGTATGCGGTAAAGTACTTTTACTGATTCCGATAAGAGCATTCTTGTTAGTAATAATCCTGAGACATAATAATTATTATCCTCAATTACGTTTGATTTATGAGACAACTGATGAGAAACGAATGTCACTTCATTACTTGTGAACCGTATGCGGTTATTTACCATTTACTTTAGAAGAACAATAAAATTGTTCAATTAATCAGTCAAAGTTTACTTAAACTTTCAAACACCAAGCGGTCACCGGTGACCGCAACCTATTGTTCTTTAATTGTGTCTATAAATACGGTACTCGACGAGTTAACTTGAATATTAAGTCTACTTACTAGTGGTGGGTATAAGTCCATGTATGGTTTGCGTGCGAAACCTCAATAATATTCTAGTGTGATCCTGACTAGCCACATGTTCGTTCTTGAGGGACATCACTACCGGACCGAGATTCTCGTCAGATCCAACCAAATTGATGTGTTCCTGTGGACAAAAAATAACAATATTTTAGTATAAAAGCATACATTCGGAAAAGCACATGAAATTCTTAAACGAAAAAAGGTCAAAGTTAGCGAAATCACTTAGAACCGCGTGTGCATAATTACACAACTTCTATTGAACCATAAGAATTAGTCTTTATTTACATTAACAATTCAGGAGTTAATAAAATGTGGAATACGATTTCCGAGAAGTATGTTGGTAATTATATCAAATGGAATATTATATTCAAGGTATTCAGACTTAGTCTTTACCTAGAATAAGAGATATCATTGCGGCTTTTCTAAACATACATCTGACTGGAAGCTGAATTAATTTTGTCCATGAATACCTACCTACGTGTGAGATTGTGTTTCTGGCAAATATCAAATAATGTAGGATTCAAACAAAGCTAACGTAAGTAATTACATTAAAACGAGTTCCAATAAACATTGGCAGTATATTTGATAATGCATCTGGGATTATATTCCAGTTACGATGATATGAATGCTAACAATGTTCTAATTTTCTAATATCATTGATTCGATTGTAACTCTGTGACATTAGTGCTAATCGCATATTTGTTTAAAATAGTATCTAGAATGTCTAGATATTTACGAACATTTAGATATTAGTTACATGATTTAAGTATATAATCTCAAAAGTGCAAAGAAAATCATTTCCAAGGAAAACCTCATTCAGGTAAGTAATGTCCTCCTTAGGAACGGTGACCTAATATTCCAGGACTCTTGATTAAGATGACACAAAAGACGAAGTTGATCTAATAACATCTGACATGATAGTGCGCTCGCAATTATTGGCTGAATCAGAGCATTTAATGGTGATGTCATCCACAACCGACTACCAACTGATTTTCCACACCCACAAGGAAAGAAGAATTGACTAGGTAGTTACAGTACTGCATACATTAATACCTAAATAACCAGATTCCGTTACATGGTATGTATGAATAAATAGATTTCAATTCAAAACAGAACATAACAAGTTAGCTTAATTAGAATTGAAATCACGTTTATATTAATCCAATTATTATTAATACTTAAATATTTTACAAAACAGAGGAAACTGTTGTTACATCGACTAATTAGCACATATGCTTATCGTGCTCTCAATTAAATAGCTTCAATGTAAATATGTGAACATGAAACTAAATTGGGAAACAATGTAAACACAGCAATAGAATTACAAAAGTTTTGAGCAATACAAAATGCTATATTTTACTAAACCAAGGTCTGAACAAAAGCTTAATGTATCATGGGAGATGTTAATTAGCTTACAATGCACTGTCGTTATTAACCTTGTCAGACCCTATTTTTTATTCCCATACAACCTTAACGAAGGATAAACGCTATTGTCAATAAAACAATGCATGGTCTCAATGAAAACATTGAAAAATACACAGTTCTTTATATCCGTTCAGGCGATGTACGAAGATCGATTCAAGGAAATCAACATTAAGTACTACAAAATTGAACTTTAGCTAATAATTTTAATTACCTCCTTGCGAAACTGGTAGAATATTCTCGAAATTCTACATTAACTCACCACCTACTCGTTTCTTATCCATACCCTTTGGGAGAAGGCGTGATATGAAGCATGTTTATACAATTTACGAAATTGACGAGCTATTTCTGTACCAGACAGTAAATACATTTTCAATATCGAATGAAAGATTGCCACTCGCTTGATTAATCTTTTGAGACATATTTTGATCAGAAATAATGATTAATTGTCTGTCAATGCACGCTAGCTGCAGCTCATTTGCTACAAATAAACAAGATAAAGGACACAGATCATTGACTAGAAAAACCGAAAGCACTCAATCATTTTCTTCTACTATTTGTAAATCACTTTTTATATCGTAAAAGTAAAATTTATTTGATTACACACCACTGCTCAAATATAATTATCATTAAGGACTAATCCCTCGAATACGAGTTTCGCCCATTTTTAGAAAAAATCCAAAATTGCATGGCCTTTTTCAAGTTGCCACAAAGAAGCAAATTGAAAGCTAAAGATGGTAATTGAAGGGACGAGGGGTTAATGCCCTTTTTCGAACTCCGTGATGGATCACGTCATCCGAGATGGAATCTAACAGTTTTTTTTTTTCAATTTGGCCGCCTTTTCAAGGGTTTTGAAGAGGTTCACAAAAGTTTTTTGAATTACAAACACATTAAGTAGCGAGATTAATTTAGATGAAATTTAACATTATTTTTTAGAAAAGATGATTTTCGACATAGATTTTAAATAATATCAGACATTCCAAAATATCTGTTATTTTCGATGAACATTTATAATTATGAAAAAGCAGCATTTTTCATGATAAAGCTTTCGTTATATCAGCTACTTATAATCCCCGAATCTTTTGACTTCATTCTTTGACTGCAATTTTTATTCAGAAAATCATTTTCTAAACCATGTTTCCAAAGATTCTCGACTCACAGGGTACCTAAAATGGCAATAACATTTCTGCCCCATCAATTCCTCGCCAAAATGAATTGTCCCCAAACCAATTTTGCGTTATGAATGAAGACATTTGCTTATTGCTTCCATTTTTCTTTTGTCACGGGCATCTGTCATCGTCACTGATTTCCAACGAATGGATTGCAAATTATTATAAAAATGTTATTAACGATTTATTTTTCCATAGTTTTAATGTATTGATTGATCATACTTTACTCAAAAAAATTGAATGAAATGGTAAAAATTATGATTTTTCCTATCTTTAAGGCAGGCACCATTTTACATATTTTGCATTATTTATAACAAAAAATATACCTTTCAAAAATTTTTTGACTCGACCACAGCAATTTCATTTTCACGATGGGCATAACATTTTATATTGCCGGTGTTATCCCTCAATAGGTTTTATGGCAGGACCTGATGGTCTCTAACAGGACGTATTTACACGTCAGCATGGCACTGCTATCGGCTTAGTGATCGGAGCATCGCATTCATCTAGCCTAACCCTTGCGGTGTCACAATGGCCCATCAGCTTTACCGGGTTGACGTGTAACGATTGCAATATTTTATGCAAATTGAATGAGATACGCACTTAAGTCCTTTAGCTAAATTATGTTTTAAAGTATCTATTTTATGCCTGCCATAAATATTGCAATGAGAGTCCAAAGCTACTTTAAATGTCATTAGATTGCAAAATTTTAAAGAATGCTACTAATGTAGTTAGCAATGTCACAATTAGATTAGTTAAGCCTTTATCTATTTCAAATGCTAGTGACAATGAAAACTGATTCAAGCTGTGGGAACCAAGTAATTTGCAAGTTGCGTTATGCGTGTTTTTCTTTGGAACAAAAAACTAACTTTAACCAAAGCGCAATCATGTAAAATCCTTCACCTAAATGTTAAATATTACAATAACGTTATCCCCCTAAGCCACCAAGCAATTTAAAATATCACATTAATGTTTGATAAAACTACCAAAGTAAGCATGTGGCAGTACATAATTAAATTTAAATTAGGCATGGTATAAAAGATAAGTCAAAGGAATATTTTGAAAATTTTGTAACGAGGCGTCTGTTAAGATTTGTACGCACGATAAGGTTGGGTACATACGCGGGTTGAGACTCAAATTGCTCTACAATGCCGTAATCGGCGCAATCTACATGTAGCTGAGAACTTGGCTCACTGGGCGTGAAGCCAAACCGTTCCGCGTTCGTGAGTCCAGACGCTGTTTCCCACTATCGTTCGCGAGTTTTTTTTCATGTAATGAGTATGGTAGGACCCTTAATCGGTGGTTGGCGATGCATTTGTTTTTAATTGGTGGACACAGTTTTTTCACCCTCATTTCTAGCATATTTTCTCTCATATGTTCGCAATTGTTAATGAATTGAGTTTTTATATGTGTTTAAACTATGTTAGTGTAGAAAGTAACATGCCTGATTACTTTGATGAAAGCTTTGATAATAAAATAATAATATTTCTAGCTCTTTAGGCATGACTACAAAGCTGTACAATTATATTTTTCATATTAAAAAAAATTCGAAATATAAAAAGATATTATAAAATAAAATTCTCAATAAACTGTTTGGTTTCATTGCGAAGTTGTGCGTACACTATTATGTGTCATCTGTGTTATTGACTCCATGAGTAGACAGAGTGGCATCGTACCCACATTGGCTGTGGTCACCAACTTTCCCGACTAACATTATGCACTTACACGAACATTATGCGTATACAGTCACTATATACTCTTACATCGTACATTTTACATGAAAACCAATAAAATATTAGAAACTTATAGTAATAATGAATCATAATTACTTTGAAATCGACACATTATTGTGTTGTAAACACTTGTGGTAAGGTTTTCACTTGAATTAAGTGTTTTTTTCCTGCAATGGTTAGTGAATATGCGTGTTTGATTAATAGGCGTGTATTGTGGTATAGGCGTACCATGCCTTCAATAGAATGCCAACTAGACATTAATGTTTTCAATGTATAATGAAATTGAAGTAAAGTATACAATAATTATATAGTGTTTGTTGTTAAAATCATCTCTATGCATGCTAGTATTTGTTTAGTACTTATGTTTTAAGGACATTATAATATTATATTGATGTGCCAACTATTAAGCAATGTTTATTTAGGCTGTTGCAACTCATCGTATACATCTGCTGCTCAATCAAAGCTCTTAATGTTAAGTATGTCATGTTATTTATGATTATTCAGCTAAGATAGGGATTTCTGTGAAGTAAATATAAATAAACTACAGCTTTGTTTATTCAAATAGTAATATTATTTACCTATCTATTAAATAGACACACTTAATTACTGATACAAAACTGATCGAGGCCGGTCTTTCAGATTTCACTTTCGCATCATGAGGACTGATCACCATTTTAAACATGTGAACAACACAAAACTATAGACGAAAGTTAAAGATTTTCACACAAATATGGCTATGGAAACATAAGAAAAACTGTATGAGAGAACAATAAATAATAATTGAATGAAAAAATTCGATTGATGATCAATCAAAGAATATAAAACGAAAAGTGTCGCATGATACAAAGATAGCAATTATGAAGATTCGAAACGTTACAAAAAAAGTACAAAAAGTGAGCCTATGGGCGTGGGTGTGGGAAAGTTCACACGTGGCGGTAACTGTACCGATGTAGTACGCATTATGGCTTAGGTTGTGGACTTAGAACGAAGCGGAGCGGATGAACTTAATGTGCAGTTACATTTAATATGTGTTTTACTAGCATAATTAATGGCTATAGTCGGGTTTACTGGTCACTGATTTGATTTTTAAGCATTGAGTTCCTGGGAACTGTTTTACCTATCATCATAGTCATTTTGAGTTGGAAATTAAAACAAAATAGGCAGGATCTTTATTAAAACTGGCGAAGTGTAGTGTGAATTGTGCCTGATATGAGATACTTTTTGAATGTACCTTATAATACGAAGACCACTAATTCAAAATCCTTATAACAAAATGATATGCTCACCTAACCGACCTCAAAAGTACAAAAAGGTAATGAGCTTCAACTCGAAATGTCAAACTATTTATATTACGCCACTACCCAGTAAATTAGAACTAGCATTTCGCAACATGGTCGTAGTCTTACTGACATTGTACAGTCGTGTTTGAAATATAGATCGTACAGTCAGCACGATATAAAGACTTGATAACTTAAGAACAGAATAAAAATTATTACAACCGTGAGAAATGAACTAAACAATGGAGGAATTTTATAAACTGTGAAGAGTTAAAATATAAATGGAACTTTATTGCTTTTTTAAAATTCCATAATAATCAATAAAAAGCACTTAATAAGAATGGTTATAATTACTTATTAAGAATGCAAATTGAATAATTATTATTTTTCTGAAGATAATTACTTTGGAAAGAAATTACAATAATTATCTTGTTCCTGTCCGTAGACCTTTTCCGAGGTCAAAGCGTAAAAGGATATTCGCATTGACGTGTCGACGGCAATATTTCATTTACAATACGATGTCAAGGGAAACGTGATCAAGTGGAAGGGACACGATGTTTTGAACATACTATTTTTAAGTTAAGTGCACCCGAATCGTGTTACATAGGGTATGCTTGTACACGTTTCTGTCCGGATTATAACTAAGGTAGTTTTAATAGTTTTGCAAACTTGTTATCTTGAAGTCGTAAAGTTGGTTTCATTTTGAAAGATAATTACGTAAAGTTTTAATGTACTTTTTATTTTGGAAGCGACTTGGGACTAACATAGGTAAGAAGTTTTCATGAAAAATTAAATCCCGACGACGTTGATTGATCTAAAATAAATTAAAAAAATCTGTCTTTGAAATCGGTCTGTATCTCAATTTATATCGAACGCTAGTGGTTTTAATGAACATTTTTACTGAGAATAATGTATGCAAGCATACGTCCAATTGGCACATCGCAGTTGGCAACACGCGTTGGTTTTATTTCCCCGGCCGCAGACAGCGTGGCGCGTAAATGTCAGATGGTCTGAATACACGTTTTGTAATGCCACTTTTATTTTCGTCCATTCGAACCACTTGGAAGAAAGTGCGCTCTGGTCACGAAAGCAATTAAATCGTGATTTGATTTGTATATTTTTTACGTTATGCCACAGCTTTTCGTCATGCCGTAACCTTTGGAACGTGACTTTGCTCACGGAGATCAGAGAAGTTGATGTTAGCATTCGCATCAACAGAATTATATCCCACTTTTGTGTTGTCATAAACTTCGCAGTCGTCTTTTGTAGTCACCTAAGTCAACAATTGTATCGTGATGTTTATAAATATAACTTCTCCATGCAGAATCTAAGCTAAAAATAACCTTTGCAACGTATAGCGTTTTATATCATAGCAATGGTTGAAGTAGACCAGAGCGTCCTTAACTTAATAATGCGCTATTTTCTACAACAGCACATAAGTGGATCGCTTCTTCTTGATTTTCGTAGAAAGTAGAATGGTGTTTGAGCCTTTTAGAATAAGATTCAACTTACCTTGCCAAGGAAGAATCGCCGGTAGTACTTGGCGCTGTTGTCGGTGTCGATGTTATGTCGCCTCGATGCTTGTCTTGGGGTGCCAGGTTGTGCTCGGGGTTCGACATCTTCACCTTCAGGGAGCGTATCTTCTACTCCATCTACCCAGTACCCTTTTGGTGGTAAAACTATTGTTGGTGGAGTTCCTGTAAAGATTTTGTATGAATTAGTTTTAGGTATTAATCAATACAATAACGACCCAAATAAGCGCTGTTGAATAAAGGAAAAATAGCATCATACTTTGAGGAAGTCACGATATCAATTATTGTTTGATTTTTTTAAGCGTTCAACACACAACGCTATGTCCAAGGTTACAAATTGTTCTATATAACTTTGTTTGTGTGTGAGTGAACATTTTTTATGAGTCTCATGGTTTAATGTATTAACATGACCATAACAAACAAAATTAATGCTTTATGTACACATGACCTATTACGATTTCAAAATAACTGAACTAATGGAGAGAGGATAAGGTTGAGTATTGACAACTACAAACAGATATCACAAATGAAGTACATGATTAAAACCTCAACCATTAAGAGTTGTCAATATCAATGATTAGCTGACTCGCAAACAGAAAGGGGTAGATCCCCCCTTTGCAAAGGACTGCATCTAATTTCAAACAAGCCATTCTAGTCTAGACCGCCTTTTGTCCAGGAGATTTTTTTACATGACTCTCAATATAGTCCTACGGGGCCTCATTGTTCCCGCTGTCCTCTTTCAAAAGCCGTCCCTATTACTGCGAGTTGTAAGCAACCTTCAGCTCTTACAGCACGGAATGATGTAAGGAAAAGATTTTTGAAAAGGTTTTTTAAGCATAAAAAGGAAGGTCCAGTTAAGTGTGTCTTTCATCTGTTGGTTTAATAACATCCAATCGCAAAAGACTTATTTATATATTAAAATGTCAATACGCATTCTCTATAGAACTTCAATGTAAAAAGCTTTTTAGCAAAAAAAAAAATCTGTATTTCAAAGCCTAATTGAATATAATGTTACATAACATTATCAGCGGAAATTACAGTCGTCACTGCAGGACCCGTGTACCGATTCTGAGTCGAGAAGCGAAACCGCAATTGGCCTGATTTCCCAAGATATAGCCCCTGCGCAGCGCCATTTAATTTAATTAATGTTTTAATCATCTAACTAGCGCTGGAAAACTATTTTTAAATTCACCCGAGTGAACGCTTTACCTTTGTCACTGTCGAAAAATAAAGGAGTTCACTAAAAAGTTGGACGAAGATATCTCAAAAGCTTTTTGTTAGCACTCCATTATCTGGATTCATTAACTGACAAATATTTTCTATACAAAAGTGAGAGAGATAAATGGTTTCCTATGTCCGTAAATGCCTTCCAAATTTAGAAGATCAATGGAGTTCAAAAATAAAGTTTTTTACATTTTACTGACTCAGTGCAATTTAGAAACGGTGACATGAGAGTAAGAACTAGGACATTGTTTTTTCTGTTTTTGGATACTTTATTTGAGGTGTGTCATTTATAGCCTCAAATTCCATCTACTGCTGAATATAGGCTACTCCCAATGACTTCCAGATCTAACGTTTGGAATAGTCTTGCACCCGTTTCTAAGATTTGTTTTCGCTCCAAGATCATGGTACCAGACTTTTCATTGTTATATATGATTTAACTATTTGATCGAACTCATTCTCGATTGTAATCTCTATTTCGAACCACGTATCAGTACCTAATCAATCATACAACAACCTATCTGAAAGCAAGCCTTGCCTTTAAATAATCAAGCAGTTAATTTCAAGCAAAATACTTTCACACCTCTGTTCTCAACATTTCCTTTACTTTCTCCAAACGTTTGCAACAATGATGAAAGTTGAGTATTATAAAAGGTAGCATTATTAATAACTCTTATGTTATGGCTTTTGAAAATCTTTTATAGTAATTAGTAATTAGAAACTGATGAGCAATTAGCAATCAATATTTTATGATCGCGTCTTAAAGGATTGATTAGAAAGTATATACATAGGTACTATCTCAATTTTCTAGCGAGTTTTATAAGTACTAAATTTCATTTGATTAAGGGTCGTGAAATAGGTACACGGTTTTTATAAGAAATGAATTGGAGAATCTTATATTACGAATGTACTTATGTCAGTATAAAGAGCTATTTTCTTTCAAAGTTAGATATAAAACACGAGATTAAAACACATTTCGGGTAAGCAAACGCAATATTGTCGTGGTGACCCGGAGGTTTAAGACGCCCCCTTCTTGACCACTGACAAACGGTGAAGGAAAACATGGAAAGAAAATCTGTAGAAATTGCCAACCCGCATTGAGCAAGCGTGGTAATTAATGCTCAAATCTTCTAGGTGTAAGAAGAAGCTTTGCTCAGCGGTGAGCATTTATAGGCTGTTGATGATGATGAAATGCAATATTATAACCATTTGTACAATATTAAACAGTTTACGTTAATCTAGTGTTAATATACCGCTTCTTGCAACTCGACATCAAAATACATTACAGCCAACCACTCAAGACAACTTGAAACATTGCAACTGCATACAAATACGACGTTGACTTTCCAAAACTTATTTGTATTCCCGGACGCTTCCTACTTTGTTTGTTGTATCACAAACTAGTGGTTGAATCAACTTTCTTTGACGTCTGTTACACAGGTTGCTGAGAAAATCAACTAATTAAAGTTTAGACAGACTTACTTCATTTCATTTTAAAATCCTCAATTTTTCTGCAACGCAACGTAATTTGGATATTTTGCGAGAATTTTTCCACTGAACCATAAGTCGAGCTAATTATTATAACCGAGTCAACGTACTTACATTACGATCTTAAGAGAATTTTAATAATCTTTAAGAGCTCGGACGAATGAAAGAGATGCGCTAATTCCTTTAATTACAATGTTATTTTATGTTTGTTTCGAGTAAACTTTGCTCTTAAGACTTTACTGGGAGCGGCTGTTAGTATTTTACGTAACATGGTTCTTAGTACTTATAAATAAGACTGAGTTTCATTATTGAAGTATCTTGAGAGCTGGTAACGTCTTTACATCTAATGCAGTACAATTTTCTTAACATTTTATAACTCTATTCAAAGAAATAACTTGTAAAAGTATATGCGTGGGAAATGTTTCTATCAGTAAAAGGAACCTTCTAGAACATTGGCATTTAGTTAAATCGGTCGGTAACTATCGGTTTGAACGTTTACAGTTTGTGAACAAATCACTATGGTTAAATACTTCGCTGGTCAGCGTTCGGATGATCAGACATTTATGGACTAAAGGTCAAACCTTTCGCTTAACCCTTGGTCATTAGAAGTTCAGTGAATCGTAGGCATGTAGAATATTGGCGCATAGAATGAAAAATGCAATAAATAAACACATAATGAGGATAACATAAAATGAGATAAATTTTAAAATGATTCCTAAGCAGCACTTCATTAGAAAATAGTCATATTATTACGTGCATAATAATATTCTGCCATAACTCCTTAAATAACCTAAGCAGGAAATGTCTATAACAGACGGTATTAGGGCAACGCCGCGCCGCCCGCAGTGACATAATGTTAAAAAGATTTATAATTAACAAGGTGCTTCTAACTTTATGATGGGCGGTGGTGTCGTGTCGACGTCTATCAACGACCGAAGACTATTAAATGTAGTAAGGTATTGATATTTAAAAAAAGTTATTGGTCTAGACTTCAAGGCAAGAAGTAACCTACTTAATTGTCTTCATAATTTAGGGTCAGAGTTCAGATATTTAAGAAAATATGGAGTATTAGGCTCATCTTTAATTATGTCCAATAATAAGAAAATAAAGAACTTACCACTTTTAGAAAGAGTTTCCTCTAGAAGGCGACGGCTGGCGAAGCAGGCGGCAGCAACTTTTCGCTGTGCAGCCGCTGCCCCAGGTGAAGACGGAGTGCCATGGGGTGCTGGCACTCTGCCCTCGGCATAGGAGTGCCGCTCATTGATTGTTGCACTCCCAGTACCGCCAGCTGATACTGAGCGGCATTTCTCTGGCCGTCCAACCTGCAAAAAATAAATAAATTGTTAGTTTGGTACCAATTACATATTAATTATACCACTAGCAAGTTACACAATCGTAAAACGATATGAACCTAAAGAAATTATCAGGAATTTTCTATTTGTATTTAGGGCAATTGATTTTCAACCAACAGATTTACAAAGATTTCTGATTATTATCAAACGGCGCATTTACCACCCGTATGCAGTTCAAAGGCATTTAATTGACTAGTTTAAACATGTAACGTAAAACGGTAAATTAGTTTAGTTTTGTGATTTCTGTTCACTGTTTAGATAAGCAGTAAAGGCAGCTATAATTCTAATCTTGACGCTACGCAAGTAAGCGTGACGAACGCATCGTCCATTGAACTCGTGCCGTGGGATCCCATCATTGTAGCTTTTCACGCTAACTGTAACGATCCGCATAATTTGCTCTGCGGTGGCAGTGGACCCATCCCAACTATTTGGGAACGCAGTGAAATCCCAACAGACCTACAATTTGTGATGACCGCAAATTGATAGGGTACAAACGTGACAATCAAAACAGTTTGCAGAGCGATTGATAAACAAAAGAAACAGGTGAAACTCCAGTGAACCGAATCGCGGTCGTTCACGAAGTGTTTAAATTGATTCTGTATTATTGACGGGGGCATAAATTGTGCCGCACCCGTAAACACCATCAAAAGTTTAAAATTGGAAGCCGACGGAAGCATTAGCCGAGCCGTTGACAGCAACTCGAAACAAGTAGCGTGGAAAATGCTCGGGGCATTTCCACTTTGATCAAATTAATCTGACGTCACTGACGCCATGTTTCTCGCGCACGCAACCGCGGGAATCAAATACTTCAACTATTCTAACACCATAAATCTAAAACTATAAACAATTTACATCGGAAAAACAACTTCGGGAATGCGCCTGTTGCGAAAATCTATGAAAAACTTTGAACGAAACGAAAACAACTATAACTTCAAATACTTTAAGAAACTCGATAAGACGGTTCAGTTTGTAGTACCAAAGTACCCAATACTGAAATACATATTTAGGTGTACCAACGTGTTTTACTATTCATTCAAATTTATACAAAACGGAAACATGAAATTTCGGTCTATTTCAATATCCTAGGCGATCTACAAACAGAGCTCCGCGAACATAGCCCATTTATTTTAGTTTTCATAGCGAACATACGGATAAACTTTTGCATTTACTTATAAAAATAAATACGGTATTTATTCAGGCTAAAGTTTGATTTCTATAATGCACTAATGCTAGGCATTTTCTAGATGTATTAATTAAAATGAAATGTAACTGTCAATCAGTTAGGGCCTACGTCAGCCGTATCCAATTTTGATTGACGGCTAATTGCAATTAAAATTGTTTTTATGGTAATTACAATACAATGTCAGTCAATGTGGAACGGAAAGAAAACTAATGAAATCAAATAAAAAATGGAATAATTACCTATTTGGTGAAGACATGTACCTGTAATTGTGCGGATTTTGTATATCAAGTATCCGCGTTTGTTAGGCTTCATGCGCACCTTAGCGTAATAATCCTTCATGCTTTTATGTCATTTGTATTCTCACCTAATATTCGAGAAACGGTCAATGACCTAAAATATGATTTCAAAGATTTCAAGCACGATTTTTAAACACGAGTGCTCATATACGTTGAAATGTAGTTTATTTTATTATTAGTTTTAGTAGATTATGAATGAAAATAAAAGTAATTTAATAAAATTTCGTCGCCAGAATAATTCATAAACAACGTTCATTCAAACCTACTCGAAGACATCAAAGCATATGACGTCTTTCAGTGAATGTAACAATAAAACTATCGCCTTCTCTGACATTATAGGATCATTAGGACCGCCACACTTAATTACAGCTTCTAATACCTAACAAATGACACGAATAATTCTCTCTTGCGGCTCATTTAAACTGAGAGACAAATTCGGTGCGGCGGAAGATTATTTGAGGGTACGACTTTAATGTGCTGAAGTTAAAATTTGGAGGGCGATTCTGTTACTAAATACGGAAAATATTATTTATTTTGGCTGGAGTTTTTAAACAAGTCACGTTGGCTACTGGGTCTAATTAGTTTCGTTGGAATGATAGATTAGTTTAAACTGTCAAACACCAAGCGGTCACTGGTGACCGCGACCTATTGTTCTTTAATTGTGTCTATAAAACCGGTACTCGACGAGTTAAAGAACTAATATATTTTTATGTTCGATATTTAAGTAGGCGCTTTTAATCACATCAAAATGGTCAATTAGCGTAATTTTAAAAATGTCACCGTCAGCCAAGACGAAATTTTCTGCATAAATCGCAAACTATTTAATTTCGACATACAAATAAACATAAACCATAATTTCATTAACTAGATGTACCAAGAAAGATTCATTCGCTCTAATTACAGTTAAATTTCTGCGGAATAACCGTAAAATACAGTATTCACTCGGGTATGTGAATCCATTACCTCGGGAAGCTTCATAAAACAACCCAAATGTTTTCACACCTGAAACACATTTGAACATCGTTTTCTCGTAATTATTCTGTATGGGGAGACAGGGGTAAAAGTAGTATTAATTATGTTATCATTAACACGAGTGTTAGGTACAGAAAACTCGTAAGAAATGAGGCAACAGAAAGTGGCTGCCCGGCCGGTTGAAAAAATATTCATTGCGCGTAGCGAGGACAAAAAAACTAATTACGTTAGCAAAAGAAACTTGCTCTTACAGCCTGTACATATTTAGCTTGGTATCTTTAGGTTTACGCGTTCCATGCAATGCAAGTAGTGGCTTGTAACATTTTGAAGTAGTGTTAACAAGGTGCTAATTCACAGTCGAATGAAAAGCAACCACGTTGAAAGATGATCACTGAAAAAGCCGTGGATTTACATTTTATGTAGCATGCACTTTATAAAACACTGGTTTATTTACTTATGTTGGTAATACGTACATAAAAATTCTTGTTAAATATTTATTTGTGGTAAGAACAACAAGATAAGCTGATACTAAAATGCTTCGTGCTAAATCCGTCTCGCCTAACCCGGCCGACTGCATCCACAACTTTAGATCGCTCGTAACATTTCGGTAATGTATATTTAGAATTTAGTTCTTTTGGATTATTTTTAAAACAATAGACTTAAGTACCAAGTAGATACTTGTTACAATTAGGCATGTATTGCAATAAGATTGTACGCATGCGTCTAGATTTCACAGTTTTAAGACAATAGGAAAAATGCTTAAGATATTTTTAAAGCATTTATTTATTTTCTATCAATGTTAAATAAAATAGTCTGTATGCTATAGAAATTAAAGATTGTTTTGCAACAAACATTATATGATGTGAAAAGAAATACAATTTCTATAGCGATATAAGAATGCCATCCGTAAAAGGCATGAGGCTATAAAAGAGAAATTGTTACCTATTGGATTTCTATGTATTTCTGCAGGGTAAATAAATACTTGTATACATTTTTTCTCCATTAGCGGCAAATTCCCAAGCTCTAAGAAATATATATCTAAAAATAAAACTATTATTTCTTACTGACGTGTTAAGTAACTAACGAAATAATTCTTATAAACGAACACATTATACCTTTTAATTCCCGAAGGAAAGAGCAAAATATAAGACTCACTTTTAACTGGTTATGAGTCCTGTGTAATAAGGTGTTTTTTAAAATCAACCAAGGACTTCTCCCGCATTGGATTAGGCGAGAGAATATCTGACTCTTACGGACTAAAAAGTAAAAACCTCCCCGTTCTTGCTCACTTGTTGTCCACAGCTCCGGATAGGGAAAGACTGGATTTTTGTCCCTATAGATTCTATCCAAACTACACAAGATACAGCACGTTAACTGTCAAAAATAATCCACTATTATAAAACATGCATGCATGTATTAACAAGAAAACTCCTAAACTTGAACAAAACGTAACAATCATGTTGTTAACCATGCATCGTTGACCATTATGTGGTAACATATAACATTCAAGATTTTTATTCTACTATTACTTCCTTATTCTCGTCGTGAATTACTTGAAACTACCATTCATGTACACCACAACAGTTACTGACCATGTGCTATGATTTCATATCAACGCCCTAATTGCGTAACGCGATCGCCATTATACAGTTGCTATGACAGTTTTATAGTGCGTCGTATTGATTGTACAATAAATTGGGTACTTGATTCAACTATAGAGATCAATTGCTTTTGTTTTTAAATTGATTCTTAAACGTATTCAAACTTCGATGTTTGAATTTGATATTGTATTTTTTTTTAAAGAGTCCAATTGTAATTAATTTCAATGACCACTTATTATTTCAAAGTATGATAGTACTTTTACGCGGAAACATTAAAAAAATGGTTCTAAAAACAAAACACGAAAAACACATTAAGGTTGTGATAGGTCAGTTTTTGTTGACAATACCTACTATGTTATCAAAGCCACCCACACATACCTACACCAAAAATAAACACTTGAGTGCCTACGAAAATAATCCCATTTTGTAACCTAGCCTAAAATATAAAATAAACATTGGGTTACACAGTATTTCATTTAGCAAATGCAGTCTCCATTTAGTTATTGAAAAACTTTTACCTAGTCCTGTTCTCGTCACATAAATATTACGGTTTATTACTATCCGCGAAATGGAAATGTCTGCAGACATCGCCATCATGATGGCGTCATCCGTGACGTCACACTGCTAATTTAATTGTTACGCTCCAATGGGCATTTGATGTGTACTTTTGTTATAATAAGCACTTTGTACACAATATTAATCATTTCGTTTATTACGATTTTAACAACTAGATTATCTTTTTTGTTAGAGGGTTATTAAAAACTATGGGTATTGCATTTCCAGTTAATATTTCTAATGTAAGTAGGTAATACTGTTAATGAATAAATTGAAAAATAAACCGTATCTAACTATAATAGAAAATTATCCGAATCAATTTTTTCGTATTATAAAAACGTTATTTAGAAGTCCATGTAGAAA